GGTGTGGAACACCTGAGTCATCAGGTAGGCAGCAAATTATCATATCCCAGTTGGCATGCAAGTTCTTTTACCAGTCCGAAAACATAAATTGGATGGGAAGGGGGGAAAACTAAAATATTTGAATGAAACTGATTAAAAACTAATAATGATAGCTAAAATTTTGAAATATTTACAGAAACATGCAGGAAAGAGTAAATGAGTACCAGACCTGCCAAGTTCGGAAGATAAGAATGCGTGACCAGGACCGTTGCGAGGACTTTGTTTTTTTTTGGGGGGGGGGAGAGGTTAGATTTACCGCCTGAATTGTTTCAATTTACGTGATTTTGCGACGCCCGCGAGGCGCTATCATGGTTGGTGCCGAGCAAAAAATTTTGAAAATTTGAATTCTTTAGACCGTCGAAAATAGCATTTTGAGAGTCTTTCCTACCCAAGATTTCAATGTTTTACTACTACCTAACAATGAAGATAAGTAAAATAGCTACTGATCAATAGGACAGTGTTACTTACAGTTTAATGTGACTACGAAAATTGAGAAAATTTTGGAAATTTGGAATCTCCAGATCGTCAGAAAGCGTATTTGGCCATGTACCCCCAGGCCAATGATGCGTCTGAACGTCTTTATTTGGTTGGTCTATTGTTAACTCTAATTCTACGTTTGCACACAGCGTTGTCAATGAGTTATTGTACGAAAAGTGGGATAGCGTCATATAATGGTAAAAATGCGTAACTTTAAGATCATTTTAGTTATGCGTGCGGGACAGCGGGAACAAAAGCAGAATGCGTAACTTTCACGCGAAATGCGGGAACCTTGGCAGGTCTGGAGTACCGTAACAGCAAGTCAACCCAAAGGATAATGAAAAATACAATGTCTGAAAAGAATTTTATGTTTAGCTGGAAACTCCCCCCCCGGGCAAAAATTTGGGACAAAAAGAAATAATTAGCCCCCCTCCCCTCCCATTAAAATAGGGCTAGCGCCACCCGGGGAGGGGGGGGGGGCAACCAATAAGCAACTTCTACTTGGCCGTAATGATTCTTATTTCTTACAGCCCTACTATTAAAATGAGACCATATAATGTGTTGCAATCAATACAAACATCTCCTAAATGCATACCCTTTTGTTTCATTTCTGCTATGACCTGAAGCACTTCATCCCTATTTACTGCCTCTATTTCCTTGCCATTGAATTCATATCCCCCTTCAACAAAGTAATATCCACTGCTGAGAGCTGTACGTAGATCTTTTGGAAAATCACAAAACGGAGGCAGCGCTCTCGACGCTGATCCACAAAGCCGTACCACTGTCACAGCAGCTAAATTTTTGCGTTGCAAGACAGCATTCAGAAAATGTGTTGTTCCAATATTGACACGACAAATGCGGACATTCCTGTCCTTGAAATTTTCAGTTAATTGTCCAAGTACAGAATGAAGAGCATTTCGAACGCCAAGGGTAATCGAAGATGTAGTTGGTTTTTTGCTTTTTGCGACAACTTTTCGATCATAAAGTGCAACTGCATCAGTATTTGTGCCACCCACATCAATACCGATACAAACTTTCATGACTCTAGCGGTATAGCCATATTTTTACATTCATACAAGTGATACAACTAGAAAATTTAATCATATGGCATGAAATCCATGAATGCGCCTTGCTCACAAAACCATTATATTTTCCGGACATGAAGTATTTGAAGTAGTTAGGAAATTTTAAAATTGAAAAATCTCCTGGGGGGGGGGGGGTATGTAGCCGTGCAGGCCCAAGGGAACTGATAGTGGGCCTGCAACACTGAGCTATAAATGGCCTGCAACCATCACCCCATGTTTTCGATTTTCCACCGGCTAAATTCCCATTGGCTAGCTGAGGCGATCGGTAATTAATTAACCTAGCCCGCGTGCAGGCCCAAGGGAACAGTGATTCATCACAATTAAGGCATAGACAAAGGCTCTCGATAAGCTTAAAATTTGAAAATTGATCACTTTTTTCGATTACAAATGGAACAAGAACAGACTGTTTATTGTTTACTTGAAGGAAGACATGTTTTTGCCGTTATGCCAATGGGGATTGCTTGTCGTGAGGTGTTGGAATAGCAAATTACGACTGGGGTAAACTATAGTAACCTTTACTTGAGTTTCATTAATTTCAAACAGACTTCAGTATGTGTTCTCACTTCCTCAAGAAAATTATCTTTTGGTTGATGTTGAGATGCAATTGCATGTAAGGACTGTAAGCCTATTCGAAACACTTTGCGATTTACAAGGCTTCGCTGTTCGCTGAGAGAGCGAAACAGAAGGCGGTATTAAATTGCCGTTTGAAACGAAACGATCTGGACTCGGAACGCTCTCTTCTTTTGTAGAGTTCTTTACCAAATGAAATAAATTTCGTACTTTCCGCCGCCAACAAGAATTGCACCCACGATCTGATAAGTGAGACAATTTATTTATAACAATGCCAATGGCGACAGCGAAGCACACATAATATAAATCCTAATGTGGTCGCACGACTTCCCTCATGATTTGAAGTTTGAGACTGGTTTTCTGTTGAAATTCGTCCTAATTTGCCTGTTCCGATTTTAGTTGAAAATGAGCACTTGCAAATTTAGCAATTACTGACTGCGTTGCTTGCTTTTTTGTTTCGTTCCCCGCAGGAACGAAACGGTACTGTATTTGGTTTCGAGCAATATCACAGGAAAGTGACGTCGGAGATCAAAGTTATCCAATCCTTTGCCAGTATTCTTCCTGAAACGTCAATTACATTTAGAATCGTCCAATAAGATGACCGCTCCTAGCATAAGAAGTTTTTTGGAGGCGTGGCGTATAATCGGAAATCTTAGTTAATTATATATCAACCCTCTGATATCAACCTATGAGAACATGCTAACTTAACGGTTAGATGGAAAACTCTGATATCAACCTATGAGAACATGCTAACTTAACGGTTAGATGGAAAACACGGAGTCGGAGTTCCGGAGTCGGAGCCCCGGAGTCGGAGCCCCGGAGTCGGAGTCCCGGAGTCTGACGTCATAAAAATATGGCGTCATAAAAATATGGACAACACGGAGTCATATGGAAAACACGGAGTCTGACGTCAGAGAAAAATATGGAAAACACGGAGTCATATGGAAAACACGGAGTCTGACGTTATAAAAATATGGAAAACACGGAGTCATATGGAAAACACGGAGTCTGACGTCATACAAATATGGAAAACACGGAGTCATATGGAAAACACGGAGTCTGACGTCAGGGAAAAATATGGAAAACACGGAGTCATATGGAAAACACGGAGTCTGACGTCAGAGAAAAATATGGAAAACACGGAGTCCACAATAAAATATGGAAAACACGGAGTCTGACGTCAGAGAAAAATATGGAAAACACGGAGTCTGACAATACGTCAGCGTGAAATATGGAAAATAGTAATTAAATAATACGTCAGCGTGAAATATGGAAAATAGTAATTAAATAATATATAATTCAGAGAAAAATATGGAAAACACGGAGTCTGACAATACGTCAGCGTGAAATATGGAAAATAGTAATTAAATAATATATAATTTATGCGAATATAAACAAACGGACGAATTAATATAACGAATTAGAAATTTTCTGCATTAATTCTACAGCCTGGTTATTTCTCTAAAATGTCGTGAAAATATGGATTATTTATTTTTAAATACAAGTTATTTCTCTAAAATGTCGTGAAAATATGGATTATTTATTTTTAAATACAATCAAGCAAATAATATTGTTTCTCTTGTCGTGTGACTTGTTCAGTTGTACAATATTTGAAGTGATTTTAATGCGGATTTTGTTCACCTCCTATGGTATGTTGATAAAAATATAGTTTATATACTTGTAAATAATAATACTGCTAGAATATTTCATAATCGATTTACATGTAATATTAACACACAAAATCTTGACACAAAACAGATATGCTGCTTGGAAACAGCGTGCAATATTGTTATTTACTAATAAATAGATGCAGCCAGCCAATACACAAATCCGTGCAGTATATTAATGGCATTAAAAAAGTTTTCAGGTGTCCAAAAAACTACCTGCACAATAGTGATGAGTCCATACCAAGTTAATATCTCTAACATATAAGTTTTAGGTTTTTATACTGAATTAAATATCATGCAATATCATAAGTTGCAATTAATCAAGCCATTGATATTCCAGTGATCAAGAAGACAATTGAGATAGGTATTTATAACTGACCATTTGTTCCAGGCTTAATTGCATGATACCATTGTAAAATCGTCTGGCGTTAGGCAGAGTAAAATATAAAGTAGGGTACATCTGGGCACAGATATTGCCACTTAATTAAAGGGTTAATATAGAAATTTTGTATTTCATAAAGTATTACAATGCTTTTGAAAGGGATAATTTTAAGTGAAA